GAAATATGTATCACTATATTACCTGTGTGTTGCAAGTTTGATGTTCTTGGTTTTGATGTATCTGAGTGATTGTCTTGAGTGTGTATTTGTGTCTTTTCTGTAAAAAAATATATACTCAAGCAGCAAAGCTGGGCATCATGACCAAGACAAAGTCAGATTGCTTTAAATAAGTATGAACTTACCAAGTTTTGACCTAAAAAATGTTCTAAAAATCGAATAATGTTTCAAGTTTTATATGTGAGTCAAAAATATATAGTTTTAACTTATAAAATGTCTTCAAAGTTCTGTGACTGTAATGTTAGACATTAAGTTATAAATGACTAAATTGTGACTAAAGATGTGCCTTCATGGTCGAATGAGCTATGAAAACAAAATGAGTGTCTTGTTTGAAAGCAATATAACTTAGTTGTATTACCTAATTTCAACTACGTAAGCGATATGTGTTAATTGATCAAAATATCCTAATTGTTACCCTATATAAACTTTGCGTATTCGACTGAACTAATAGGGAAAATTTAAGGCTCGCATTATTTTTGCACGATCGTAAGTTATGATGGGAGTTATAACTTCAAAGTCGAGATTAGCAAAGAAATTGCTCTTAGGAAATTTGGACTGAAATTAGTCCAAATGTCCAGCAAAAGTGCTCTCAAAGTTAGAGATTGTACTGAGCAAAAATTCACTCTGGTTACTCTTGCTACTTTAAAGATAAAAATGTCGAAACAAAATGTGGGACAAACGAATATTCCATTTTAGATATGTTTTCATGTTTTTTTTATTATATCCACAAGTGTAAAGTGATCAGCACTCATTTTGATTATTTTTCTTCTTTTTACTGTCAGCACACTCAATATGCTGTTAACAAATATAAATATGCGTCTATATTTATTGATGCCAATAACAGTTATCAAACCATAACCTACCCTAACCTCTTTATATCTTTATCTCAATCGAAACAATTGATCATGATTTTGAAGTCGATCTAACTTGTAAGTAGATAAATCGGTCTTACTAGTTGTAATGTTCTATTGNTCGACAAGACGACTTCAAAGTTCACAACTTTAAAGTAAAAATGTCTTGATTAAAAAGAGTTGCTCTCAAAATTAGGCATTCGGTCTTCGAGCAAGGAAATTTGACCTATATATCAAAATTCTCACTTAATCGTAAAATCAGCCATGAAAATGAGAGCAGATATGTCCGCCATGTTGTATAAAAATGCTTTCTAAAAAAGAGGCATTAAAATATGTTTTATTATATTTTACAAGTGATTTAAGCTTGAAAAAACGATCTACTTTAAGATAATTTTTAGTCCAGGTTTGAGATTATATAGTTTTATAGTTTTATATAAAAATAGTGAAGATATGAGGATGTCACCTCAGGCTCTTTTCAAATTTACAGTTGAATTGGAATAACGGCAATATTGACCCAGTGCAGGATGTTGTGCAATAAATAAATGTACTACAAAGTAGTTTTTAACAAAACGTTTCGGCTATATTTTAAGCCTTTATTAATTGCATCTTAAATACTAATGTTTACAAAAGTGGTAGTCACATATATTAAACAATAAAAAAAAAGATAATAACACAGCCACACAAAAAAAAAATTTCTTTGGCCTGGGGATCAGACCATGTTTATTATATGTTTTTGGGGTTGCTGAATCCGAATCCAAGGTCCATTACATCCTATCGGGTCGGGGTTCTGCCATAACCTCAAAAAACACCATAATCTGAGCTCGAAACCCATATAATCTTTTGATTCAAGCCATAAACACAAAAACCAATTAGATAAACCCCATAACCCCATCTTTTGGTAAA